AAAAAAGAGAACATTATATATATTGATCCATATCATTTAATGCCATAAAATTTCCGTTAATAAAATAAAGAGAATAACATTCCATGTGGTGGTCAATACATATTTGGTATATGATGTGACAATTATTAATGATGGATTTAAAATTTAAATTTTATATATTTGAAACTAACTTAAGTTGCTAATTATTGTGAGTTATAGTACGTTTTATGTAATTTTCATATATATTACTCACTTTGTCCTGATTTATGTGATACAAATGAAATTTCAAAAGTCAATGAATTTTTTATAAGTTTCTTATTATATTAACTTGTTAATTATTGTGATTTATAATATATACTCTAAATAAAAAAAATTAGCAACTTAAAATATATAAAAACATACTAAAAAATTGATTAACTTCAAATTTCATATGTACCACATAAACTGAAACAGAAACAGTAACATATATTGGGCCCCGTGCTAGCACGGGGTCTCATATCTAGTATATTTATATCCCATAGATAGTGACAAACATACAATCATAGATTAAAATGAACTAAATTCAAAAATTAATTTTACGGTAAATTCATTTAAATGAAAAAATCTACGGACAAGTTTAGCCAAAATAAAAGACAAGGAGCACAAGGCGGATGAATGAATCCGAAAAGAGATGAACTAATAATATGCATATTGATAAGAGGAAGACAGGAAAGTAAGAAGAAAAAGAACGGAACTCCTTGTAACTCACTTTACTATTTACCTAATGACTCAAAAATCAAGTTGATCGAATTTCACAATTTTTCAACTTAACAGGAACAATGACTTTCAAGCATTTGGCAAACAAATGGGGACGGGGTTAGGAGAAAAGTCACAATGACCACAAATAGAACTCAACCTAAGCGAGTATAAAATGATCCAAAATATTTAACAATGATCATAATTAAACAAACTTATACAAGATAAAGAAATTAGGATGAAATTTAGCCATCAAATCGGGTTATCAATGTTCGGGGCTAGAATACCAAACAAACAATGAATCTTTGCGATCAAATGACAAACCGTAAGAAAAGGGACTGAAGACACAACAGCTTGATCACTTTCCGTGTTAAAATTAAGCTAAGGTATGCCACTTATGTTAACCACAATAATGCAAATCAGCCAATGCAGGGAAACATGGGTCGCAACAGCATTTTAATCATGAAAGATTTTGGAAATTGATAAGCATAAGATGTAAGAAACCAATCTGAACAAATGGGTTTAATATGTTTAGGACTTATACTACCTACAATCAAGTATCCCTATAATCTGAAGCATAAACAAATCAGCAGAGGAAAATATGTTTTGAGCATACGCGAGATAAGAACGAGAGGCGCTTAATTGCGTAAATGAGCAGCCACATTCCCCAAACTAAAAATAAGAGCGCCTTCAAACTTACAAAGACAGCTTAAATATACTAATCACAAAGACGCAACACCAAAGGGAGGAGCCAAGTTCTTAATCATAGATACTCTAGACATAAATCTCATACACAAACACGTTCTATGCCTCAGTTAACTAGAATACTGACTCAAACCCGAACGACAGGGCATTAGACACCAAAATAACTAAGAACAGAGACATTCGAGCTTAAAAAAAACAAAGAATCTACAGAAAGTTCAGTTCATGAACGGAACATCCAATACGGGTTAATGATCAAGAAGGAGTTTACCTTCCCGGAGGCAGCGAACTGAAAACGAAACGAGCTAGAGGCGACACTTCCACCACGAAACTCGAACACGAACGACAACCCCAAAGTCTGGGCAGCAGTATTAAACTTAGACACCGCAACCAATTATCTCCTTTGTTTTCTTGAGGCGTATTTCGTATGAATTTTAACTGTTTTGTTTAGCTTAGCTCCATATTTTCACTCCCAAAAATCCCACAAAATCTCCTTCCTCTTTTTTTTTCTTTACAGTGAACAACAACATATATAGGAGGGATTAGGGTTCGGAAAATGGGGGAAAACGGACCAAAAATCCGACAAACCAAGGCCCAAATCCAAATTCAAAAATAAAAAATCTTTCACCATTCAAGCTAAACACCCTTTTTCTTGAGATTTTGACTCATTCCGAAAGGGGAAAAAGGAGATGGATGGGTGGGATCAAATCACTCGTCCTTGGGCGCGACGTGGATCGATCCCACACTACAAGGACAAAGGACGCGGCTGCTGCAGGTGCCTTTTGCTGGAATTGCTACTTTGGCAGAGGTGGAAGAAGACAACAAGAAGAGCAGAGTGGTGCCTGTGCGCGTACCAATTCGCGCGTATTGACGGCGTTTGTCATTGCCGTTGGAATTGCTGTGTATTTGTTGATGTCTCCGAGTTCACGCCGTGAACTTATTGATGAAGAGCCGTTGTTGACGCGTGAGGGAGAAGTAGACGCGTGCAGGGGTCTGGGGTTGGGTTGCACGCGTCGCTGCTGGAGGCAAAGAACGAAGAGTGTGGGGGGTCGTTTGTATCGTACTGCTGTACGTATTGCTGAGTTCTTTGGAAAGGGCAATGGGCCGGGTTAGGTGATTAATTGGTGGGCTACGTATTTAAAGGTGGGAGAAGGCTACTACAAAATAAAGGAATGGACTGATGACAATTATGAAAGGGGTAAGAATTGACCCATTACAAATGGGTGGAAGACAAATAATAAAATGGCTATAATTGTAACTACAAAGAATTAACATGTAATCAATTGCGGTTAAAACTTGAGCCAAATGGAAATTAATTGGTGAAATTTGGCCAAAAGCTAAATAAGACGAACAAATTAATTAATGAGCTTCTTAATTTTAAACTAAATAAAATAATTAACTTTAAAAACTAACAATCCAAAATATTAACTACAATTTAAACTAAAACTAATTTAATTGAAAACTTACTAAAATTAAAATCTTTTTGAGATGATTTTTCGAATATTCATTAAATATATTAATTGTATACATAACTATAAAATATATTTATTATTTAAAAATTATAAAATTGACAGAATTACTTAAAATAACTTGCAAACTATTTTTGAAATTTTATAAAAAATTAATTATTTTAAATCGTTGGAAATTGAAGAAGCGTGATGATTAATTATATCGGGGAAGGTCAAAATTGGGTGTCAACAGAGGTTATGCACATTTCACTTTTACAAGTGATTTGTTCTTCCTCAGAAAAAATATTGGCATCCACAACGTCCATCATACTCCCTGAAAATGATTGTATTATCCATTTCCTCAGGTCAAGATTTTCATTGTATATCTCGTCATCTGTTGGCCTTCTTTGGTCAAAACCTCCATCAACATGATGCCGTAGCTATAAACATCACCACTAGCAGACACTATTCCTTCCGAGCCATATTCTTAGAAAAGGATTGAAGAAAAGTTACTCAATTGAAATACAACAATAATTCTATTTTTACTTCTACAACTTGGAGAGGCAATGGCCAAGTCAACTGGTGTAGTAAAAACACCAGTGCAGACACAAAGCAAACTGAAATCAACGGAGAATACACTAAGAGAATGGGTCGATGGAATACACTCAGGCCTCAGCTAGTAGTAGCAAACAGACTTGGGCAGAAGAGGTGGAAGTTTCAAAGTTTGGTTAATGCAGACAAGGAGAATATGGGGGTACAGTGAAGGGTGTGGATGATTACCACAAACTTCCTAATTGATGGTGAACATGCTTAAGTTGGAATGTGAGAGGTCTTAATGGCCTCAATAAACAGGAGGAGGTCAAACTCCTCTGTAATAAGTATGAAGTAGGTTTAATTGGGTTGCTGAGACCAAACTAATAAGTAATAAAATGGAGACAGTTATGAAGTAGGATGGGAATACTTAAATAACTTGCAAAATCACTATAATGGAAGAGTCATAGTAACATGGAAGCCGAATTTGTATGAAGTACATTTGATAGAAGGCGAAGTACATGCAGAGTAGTGTTTAAGCCACTACAATTGGAGAATATAGCTACATATGTGTATGCACATAATACTAAGGAGGAAAGGAGAGAACTATGGGGGCATCTTAGCGGAGTTAAGGACAGATGTAAGGCTCCATGGGAGACTTTAACAATGTGCTTAAGCAAGACGACAGAATAGGGGGAAATCCTGTCACCTATGCAGGAGTGTGTAGAGGAATGTAGCCTGACAGAAATGCCCAGCTCTGGAATCCCTTACACTTGGAATGATAAGCAGGATCAGAGAAGAGTCTTCCTCAAGGTGTGAGTGATCATTGTCCAGCCAAACTATCACTAGTACAGTGTACTTAAATATTGGAGCAGTTATCCAGACTTCCTAGGTATGGTACCGTGTACTTAAATATTGTGCAATACTAAGGCTGGTAAAAAAGATGAAAAGTGAACTGACAAGGTTACGTACATGCCAGAAACTATAACAATTGAAATATAACAATAGTTCTCTTTTTACTTCTACAACTTGGAGAGGCTTAATTATGATAAGAGAAAATCAATCAAAGTAGATTTTTTATACCTGGTGCAATGTATCCAAGAGTGCCCAATGTCTCTGTATGTGCCATGGACTTGCTGACAGCTAAAATCTTAGAGATTCCAAAATCACCAACATGAGCCACTATATCTTCATCCAAAAGAGCGTTGCTTGGCTTTATGGCGTAATGAACTATTGGAGTGACATGACCATGATGTAGATATTCAACTGCCATAGCTGCATCAAGCATTACAGTGACTCTTTGAAGGAGGTTCAACTGGGACTCTTCTCTATACAACCAATTCTCAAGACTCCCATTGGGCATATATCGCAGAACAAAGGCTCTTATATAGTCACTAGAACAAGTAGTAATCACCGGAACAAGATTTCTATGTCTAACATTTCTCATCACTTCACATTTGGTATCAAACCTCCTGCATACTTTCTCATTTTCCAAATTCCCAGAACCCTTAATGGCCACTGCAGTTCCACCAAACAATGTGCCTTTGTACACAGAACCAGAGATTCCCTCACCAATTAAATTGGATTCATCAAAATTATTTGTTGCTCGTTGAATCTCGTGATAAGAAACTAATTGATGAGTCCCCGATCTCCGGTACCTTTTCCACATCTTTGGACTTCCCTTTCTTTTGTCGTTTCATTATCCAAATTGAAACCAACAAGAATATCAGAAAGGATGATATAACCACAGGAGTAACAATTTTTAGCACACCCTCCTTAAGCTTTGATTGTTTTCCAGGATTAGTGACAGCACAAGCAGGAATATCCAATATGTGCACTCCACATAGACCTTTGTTCCCAAGAAATGACTGCAGAGTGGTATTTGCAAACACACCACTACTTGGTATTACACCTTCTAAATCATTAAATGAAACATTAATGCTTTGAAGGTATGAGAGTTTTTCCAAATATACAGGAATACTACCTGACAATGCATTTAAAGACATTCAAGAATTCCAAGTTTATCAAGTTGGCAAAGGATAATGGAATTAGGCCAAAAAATGAATTGTTCTATAGGTCAAGATACTGCAGGTTTTGGAGTTCCCCGAATGTGCTTGGTATCATTCCTGAAAAGTGGTTACTGGAAAGATGTAGTTCTACAATGGCTTTCAGTCCTCCAATATCTGATGGAACTTCTCCCTCTATTGAATTCTGTGACACGTCTAGATAGAGAAGACCACTCATTTTCCAAAGGCTCAATGGAAATTTTGATGAAAATTTATTAGAACCCAAATAAAGCTCTTGAAGCATGCTAAGATTTCCTAAGCATTCTGGAATTAATCCAGAGAGCTCATTACCATACAGATATAATTGAACCAAATCAGACAAATTGCATACCGCTTCTGGAATATGTCCCTTCAATTTATTGTTATCTAGATACAGCCCTTGGAGTTGTTTAAGCTTACCAATCTCAGAAGGAATACTCCCTGTCAAGTTGTTTCCTTCAATGTCTATGGCTGTAAGACCGCTCATATTGCCTATACTTGTGGGGATGAGTTCATTGATGTGTGCATATCCTATATTAAAGTTTTGAATAGTAGATGAAAGATTCCCAATAGAATTGCGCAGAACGCCATTCAATGGATTGGAACCCACTTGTAGATATTTGAACATGTAGCATCCGGCAATGTGAAATGACTACGAAGAGGCTTAAAATTGGAAATTTTCATTTTTGGAAAGAATTTTGAAAATTTGGCTAAGTATGGGAAAGGGTGAGTTTTTGGCCAACTTTGAGCCATCATAACTTCTAGCTAAAGATGAGTTAGGTGTAGTTCTAGTTATGGTTGAAAATTTCATGGAATGATCTTTCCAACTCCACCGAGTTTGCTCGATTTCGAGTTCGTATGCGTGAGTTATGCCCTTTGGAAGTTGGGCAGTTGGCAGGGAAATCCGTCCGGAAATTTTAAGGGCATTTTGGTCTTTTCCCTAATCAATTCTTTTGGTTATATTAAAGTGTTAGACTGATTTTTATATCAGTTTGTCCCGTTTTAAAAGAGTGAGAGTGAGGGTTTTGAGTGAAGAAGAGAAGAAGAAGAGAAGAAGAGGAGAAAGAGGAGATCAAGCAAGTTTCTGTCGTGGATATCGTCGGGGGTGATTCCTACTAGGTATGTGAGTTCAAGTGTTGGGTTGATCCTTTCCCCCACATGCCAAACTCATTTTATTTTCGAGAAAAGATTGATTATGCTGTTGAAGTTGTTGGGTTGTGTTGTTGGGTTGTGTTGTTGATGTTGTTGAAGTTCCTTGTTGATTTGGGACATGTTTCCGGTTGTGTTTTTTAGTTGAAATCTATTGTATGTTGAGGGGTTTATGGTTCTAAGTGTTTGGTGTTGGAACCCTTGAGGTTTAGAAGGCTTAGAGTTGGAAAATGAGGGAGAAAAAGTCGAACTTTCTGGGGAAGGGGCTGGCGCGTTGCGCCTGCCAGCGCGCCCAAAAAGGGGCTCTAAACTTTCCCCCTTGGGGCGCCGCGCCTTGCAGAGCGCCTCAGCTGGCCCTCTGAAATTTGAGGGCTGGTGCTCCGCGCCTTGCAGAACGCCAAGGACGCCAAGCTTTCCCTTTCATTCCCCACCCTTTCATGCATGTTCCTTGGTATTGTACCTATGTTTCCTAGTTGTTTCCAACACTCCAAGGTACATTTAAATGTTAAGAACTCATCTACAAATGTGTGGTCATATACCTTGAATCCATAATCCAATTTAAGGCAAGTTAGTATCAAGTCAAAGTGAAGTTAGAGTCAAGTAAAGCAAAGCTAAGAAGTAAGTCTAAGCAAGTCTTTAAAGCTTTTCAAGAGTCGTTGTTGAACGTTTTAACTTCGTTTCAAGTTTTAAGTCAAGCAAAGAGTATAGAGTTTCAAGCTAAGTAAAGAGTCTCAAGTTTCAAGTCAAGTGAAGAGTATCGAGTTTCAAGTTAAGTCAAGAGCATAAAGTTGAGTCCATTTCTCAAAAGCTATTAGGGAACTAAGTATTCCCAAAGAAGGTCGTAAATGTTTTTACATTTGAGTAAGAGGGGAACCATGTTTTCTAAAAGAGCCTTTGGGCTAAGTTTTGAGTAATCATCTCAATTAAAGCAAGATGTGTTTAAAGACACTTATGAGCCAAAGTATTTTTGGGAGTAGTATTGAGCACCGAATTGGGGACACGAGTTCATATTAACTCAAATCTCCATAAGAACCATGTGCCAACATGGGACTTGACGTATCATTCTTTTTAGATGATCATGTAAGATTTAGCTAGTGGATCCACTAAGCAAAAGTAAGGTCCTATATCACGGCAAGGTATAGGATGGTCCTTGGGCAACGTGAGGTAAAACGTTGTATCATCACTAGGGCTCATAGTGGTGGTTGTCGGTTAAAGAATCTCCCACAAAAGCTGTATTACTTTTATATAAGTAAAGTTGAGTTTGTTATTGTTTATCATTTACGAGCTAAGTTGTTTATACTGTTTTACAGCTATATATATTGCATGTGTCTTATTGCATTATATGTTGAGTTCAATTATTCATGAGTCGTACAGGGCCAAGGTAAGTGTTCTCTTGTACTCCTTTCAAGCTTAAGTTGTGGTTTAGCTTTCCAGCTCGCATACTCGTACATTCCATGTACTGATGCCAGTTGGCCTGCATCTTATTATGATGCAGACGCAGGTACCCAAGATCAGCATACAGCACGCCGTTGATCCATTTGAGCACTCCAAAGTCAGTGGTGAGCCTCCTTGCTTTCGGAGGACTC